GACATAATTCTATGTGGTTCACGTGCGGGCATCATCAAGAGTTTGCCGACGGGACATCGAGACTTTGAACCATAGCATCCGAACCCATGTTACATGAATATTAAGACTTAAGCTTACATCAACATAATTTTTTGCAGTCGGAATCCGAATCGTTAGAAGTGACGCATTAAATTTAATCACTGAATTCAATTATTATTAATTAATAATTTTAATATTGTCCGTCGAAACAGAACACTTTTCAAATACGAAGATAAAATATATCAGTGTCTTTGATTACATTTTTCAGCGTGATTCTAGTCGACATCAGGTTCTACTTTGACGTGAACATAAATCTAAAAAAATAATCCAATGTCCATTAAATACTGTATTTGTAAATTTCGGAAGCAGTTATGTTTCGAAGGGGAAAAAAACTAGAATATCTTATCTTTCAAAAACACTCCAAAGGTATAACTCATTTTGGAGCATCATTATTGAATATAAAATACCAGAAAGTTGGATGTTAAAGACAGCAGGAGAAATCTGATATATTTTTATGACAGTAACATTCACGTCTGCATCGGGAAACTGCTTACTACATGGCTTAATGTATAGGTCTTTCACGTGCTTCAACTGGGCTTACATATTCGCTAAGGAAGAATGGATTCAACCCGTACCATTTATTACGTTTAGCGTATCTTATTATTTTTTACAAATAAAAATTGTCCTTTCTCGCCCAGCTTGATCTTAAATTACATTGAAATTAGAAAACTATAATTATTATATTGTTATTGCATCTTTTTTTGGGCATTCTGTACACAAGTTATATTTCCGTCGTCAAATTTTGTTTGTCGCTGTTACACCGAACAGAGACTGCTCTTGTAACGAACGTGGTAAGATCGCCCTGAACACAGAAATAAGAAAGTTCAGTTTTTATTTAAAAAGTTTCTCTGACTCGTCTTAACGCGTTAAGAGTCAATATAGACCTATTACACACTATCGATACTCTGCGAGTATAAGAAATCTGCCATGTTATGTTCTTGTCACCACGATAAAGCCCCTGCAAATTAAAGAATTTTACATTTGGCCATTCAGAAGGTCTGATAGTAGATGCGAGGTTAGTTAAGATAATTTAAGGAAATAGGATTAGAGAGTGTGAATTAGACGAATTGAATTCACATGGTTCAGGATAGGGACAAATGGCAAGCTGTTCTGAACACGGTAACTGATCTTTAGTTTCTGTTAAGGGTTCGGAGATTATTGATTGACCGAGTTCAGCCTACTATTAGCTTCTGAAGAAAGCTCTCTGCAACGATAAGTAATCTGAATGTTTGTTAAGAATTATGAAACACCAAAATCCACATTCGAATGCAGTATGAAAAAATGTCTACACTTTTCTTTGTGGTCGGGGATCTTTCACTGCTCTTGCTATCGGCGTAGACACAAAATTTATGTTCTCTGTTACGTGATTGCAGCAGCCAAACGAGGTTATTGTCGTAAGAGGTGGAACAACTGGTACAGAGATATTATTGGAATAATAGTTGGAACAATTCGACTGAGGTTTATAATTGATGTCATTACAAGCAATACCACTGTGCCATTTTTTTTTGGAAATTTGAGAAGAATAAGATTATCAAATATGATGACGATTGTGTCGTCATGTAAAGTAGGGACTATATTAAATCGATACAGAAAGAAAAATGAAATAGTCCGGAGAAATCTTGCTACATAAGATGTTAATGAAATCCGTCGAGTCGTGAGACGAAAACGGAGATAGGTAAATGCATAAGCGGAACATGAACTAGCTAATAAGCGAATTCACCGCAACGTTTTATTGTTACACAACACGAACTACAAACTAGAACTCGACCTCAGTGTTCTGAAGGTTGCGCACGGATCCTTCCAGTCGGGAACTTAAGAACGAGTTATTAAGCTTTAAAAATAGAACTTTCACCTTCACTTTGCCGTTGTCTCCTTTCTCCAGTCGTCTGTTTAGTGATGAGAAGTATTGATTGAACTAATGACTTGTGGTGAAAGTAAGACTGGCCTTAGAATATACAAAATAATTTACGTTCTAAGAAAAACGGAGATCTCTAAATGACGTAACTACTATCAATACTGAACACGAAGGTGGGATATCTGTATGAAGTTGTTATCTGTGTAAAGAATGAAATCAAATTTATTTTAATTAATTTCATAATCCTGTCTCTCAAAGTAAATACTGAACAGAGTGTACTGTTTAAGACTCAGTTCAACCATCACGTAACACGACCGGAAAATCTAATAAAAAGCAGGCCCATCGTACCGAATCTCCATATCCTTCTAACATCCATCGTGACACTTAATGAATTCTCGGGTATCAGCCGTGGACTCACAACAGTACCCTGAGGATGAGGAAGAAGACGGTTCTCGAAACGTTGGTGTTTCCTCCATTAAACTACCTGACACGACTGGTAGCCCGAGAAGAATTCAGAGCCTCAGTGAAGTTGAAATTACCATTGGGTAATAAAAACGTTGTAAATCGCCAGGCATCGACTCAATTCCAGCGAAACTAATCCATGCAGGTGGTTGGACACTTCACTCAGAGATACATGAGCTTATAGTCTCGATATGGAACCAGGAAGTACTACCACAGCAGTGGAAGGAATCAATTTTCGTCCCTATCCATAAAACAGCGGACAGAACTGAGTGCAGTAAATTCCGAGGTATCGCTCTGTTGTCGTCATAAAATTTTTTATCGAATATTCTTCTGAATATTCAATTTAAAAACTGTTATCATCTCGTTTGTTATCCAAAACAATAAATATCAGGATATATAAAACAATAATTTGCCCGTTGTTTTGAATGGCTGTGAAAAATGGCCTCTTACCTTGACGGAAACGCGTAGATTAGAAGCGTTTAAAAAAAAAGGTGCTCAGGAGGATATTCTGACCTAGGAGGGATGAAATAAGTGGAAAATTTTGAATATTGCATAACGAGGAGCTGCGTGAATTGCACGAGTCACCTAGGATAGTGAGGATAGTAAAATGTAGGTGGTTCCGATAGGCTGGACATGTAGCATGCATGGGGTGGAAGGCAAGGGCTGCGTACAGAATTTTGGTAGGGAATAATTTTGTACAACGACCACTGGGCAATCCATGAAGGAGATGGGAATATAATATCATGATGGATCTTAGGGAGGTGAGCTGTGAGGATGACAAATGGGTGGAGTTGGCTCAGGATCGTGGCCGGTGGCGGGCTTTGGTGTTGGACCTGCGGATTCTGCTACCAGGGAGTTATTTTGTTAGTGAGTTATTGATACTGCACTAAATAGTATTATAATCATTAATTAGGCAAAGATAAGGGATAATTTTAAAATGCTATGCTGCTTTGTTACTTTTCAATAAAAATGTGTTTGAAAGAACTATTTCACGTTATCGCATAATTATTGATGGGTAATGTACTAAATAATTCTTAAATATTATTCAGACGGGATTTCGCTTTAAAACGTTAAGGTAGGGTTCTGTCCCGTTATGGACAGCCCATACATTAGTTGGATTTGAAATTTTTACGGCGGTGAGTCAGAGGATGGCTGTCTTGTGGATTGCAGCGCCGTGTAGTCTGGCCACTCATCGCCCTAATGATGGAGGCGAGAAGGCTATCTGAAACGTTAGTAACCTTCTACCAGACTACACGGTTCAACAACCCAGAAGTCAACCTTCATCAGCAGGTACCATATATCAGTTAGTCAAGAGAACCCAAAAATTTGGAGTTACCATGATGAAATTTGTTAAATCGGTCTCTTGTTTAAGTACTTTTCGCTGCAAATGAAAAATAAAGACAGCGGAGAAGACGCAGTAGATGGGAAAGGGGGAGGATTTTAAGGAACTGCATGATCACGGCAACCGTCTTTTTTGAGTACAAGACGTGAAGAGGAACAGATTTACGACGCGAGGGCGCCCGGTCAGTTATTTTATCTTCTGGGTGAAAACAACTTGTTTTACTGCATAATATCAGCAGCAGCTGTTCTGTGCCATCAGTGGCTCCCGGAACCGGGGGGCCAAGCACGACGATGACGTAGTAAAAACCGACGCCTATAATGCTGGCGATTGGAAATGTAACCATGGGCGGAGAGGCATCTAAAAGATGGCGCACGAAAATGTTCCAAAAGCAATTCGTGAACCGAATGTTACTAATTTTACAGATCCTGAAGCTTAATTACATCATAAATGTCTTCGGTGGAGCATGTGTTTAAGATTCTGTTGGGCAATGGATTTGAGACGTGGTTCACTGCTTGTAGGATCAAGTATCAGGTTAATTACCCGCTCATGTGAACAGCCATGATAATAAAGTTTATTAGATGAACAGATTTCTTCAGGAATAAATCATCTTGCAGGAAATCCAAGAATAATAATTCATGCTGATGAAAGTCTGGACTGAAGAGTAGTAAAATATGCCCAGTTTTAACGGTCTGATCACCCATTTGAGTTTACAGCCAAAGAAGTGGGGCGTGGAATCTCATGCAACCATCGGGTACTTACAGACAATTGATCTGATACTGGTAACATATTAAAACAATTCTGAAGAATTTCCACATTTCGATTGGAAGTCGTTGTTTCATGAAAGAAAGAAAAACTTTCCATAAGTCGAATAGCAATCCATAGCTCCGATGTACCCCCCCCCCCCTTTCGGGTCCTTAAAATAAACTTACCATGTTATTTATTAAGGAAACGCATTACGATTAAATTAAATATTAATAAAAATTCTTCGGATTCAACGTTTCTCTATATCTGCATCTACAGTGTAGTGTCGTAGGTGGTCAATCACGGAGGAACATATCCAGGGTATAAATGTCTTCTCCTGAGTGGGAGGCTATATTTTTTCTCCAGAAATTTGATAATAACCTACAAATTCCAAAGCGTTACAACACAGGAGACCACAAACCATATTTTCGGCGCTCTGGAAGCCTGAAATTTATGTTTTAATTAATTTGAAGCATTGGATATAAATAAAATCGAACAAAGTTGGCCTTAAATGTGTTGCAGTGTCAGACATGGAAAGTATCGGAGAGCGAGGCACCACGATCCAGGAGTTCTACCGGGGCGCCAGTGTTCTGATCACGGGTGAAACGGGGTTCATGGGCAAAGTTCTGGTGGAGAAACTGCTCCGGTCGTGCCCGCATCTCAGCAGCGTCTACCTCCTGGTCCGAAGCAAGAAAGGCAAGGACGCCGAATCGCGTCTAGACGACTTGTTCAACGATCCAGTACGTAAAACCTTCTGTGCCTTATTCCTGCACATGTACAAGGATAAAGCTCGACCAGCGACACACCAAATCTTGTCATATGAAAATCTCTCCATCATTTCCCGTGCTCACGTTCTGTCACAGTTCTTCAGAGCGCAATTAATATTTTTGATTTGTAGTCGAGATAATACTGAATTCAATCTCGGCCGACAGCTGTCACCACTGTGTGATGCTTCTCTTGAATGTTGTAATTTCCAATGTGAATGCAGAGATTGATTAATGACATAGCAGAAAATGTTTTTTATCCCACCTTCATTGAGATAATACTAAATACAATCTCGGCCGACAGCTGTCACCACTGTGTGATGCTTCTCTTGAATGTTTGTAATTTCCAATGTGAATGCAGAGATTGTTTAATGAAATAGCAGAAAATGTTTTTAATCCTACCTTCAATAGTTATGATCAACATGCCATGTATATTTACACAAATAATAAAAAGTAACTGATATGACGTCATTATAGACGTAACCTGCGGTTGTTAATGTCCAAATAAGAAAAAAAGTGTGTATGTCTACTTGGAAAATGCGTCCATATGTGCTTTTTCAGAAATAATCCCAAAATTACAAAATAAAATATTGTCAAAATGCCATTGATAAAATGAAGACCTCAAGAACTGAAATGGCAAATAATGGGGCTTTCAAGGCAGTCACAGAAGCAATGCAAAACAACAAAGTAAACGCATATAATTTGTTTTTTCATTACATAAAATCATATTATCGCACGCTCTAATCGGTACGCCCTATTTTCAGAATACGTGACATAATCTTAAAAATCTTTACTCATATTAGATGAATAATTATATCAAAGAGAGGTCGAAACAAATTATTTCTTAGCAGGACTTGTGGTACTCACGGCGGTAAGAACGAATATTACTGTCTTCTGGGTTGTGACGCCGTGCGATCTGGCAGACGTTTACCAACGTTTTAGAGGCCCTTGCTGCTTCCATTATCAGGGCGACAATCAGTTCCTGCTGGCATCATCAGAAATCACCTGAAGTATGTTCCTCCCCAATCCCTGCCTTCAATCGAATAATAATATAGTGAACGGCTGAGTGTAGTGGGAAAAGACGGGGAATTGAAGTGGGTTACGTCAGAGACGGGGACCAGATGGAGAGCAACAACAAGATACCGGATTGCACCAAACAGTACTTACGACTGGCTCAGACCACAATAACAGTCGTCAATTAATATGACCTCAGTCGAAAGGAAAATCATAAATAAATAAAAGTTAGATCGAAAATAGAATATCAAATCTGGATGTAAGTCCGAAAATAACATCAAAATTATGTTATCGTAAACGCTAAAACAAAAACTTTTGCATTAAAAAAATTAATGCAAAATAGAATAAAATGGCCGAAGTTAACCTGTCAATTGCGTTCACTACAGATAATTAACTGAAAGCAGCTGCTCCCCGCCACCTCGCCTCTCTTGAAGACGTGACAAGTATCGTGGAACGGGCAGATTTACTTACCAGAGCAGCAATATTTTCAAAACCATTGGAAACTTGCACACAGAATTTTTAGGCCGAATGAGATGGAACTGACCTCGCCGGGAGCCGAATGGCAACTGCCCCGGTGTATGGAGCTGCATCGGAAATTAATGGAGGGGTGAGGGGGAATGAAGGAAATGATTGGTGAAGGGAAGTTGGAAAGGTAAAGTGTTTAAAGACGGCATTACAAGATTACTGAATGGCGGTGCTTTCATTTGATAAAATAGACTAGTAATTACAAAAACCGACATTGGCGGCCCGCGGATATCTTACAGAGTTTTCTATGAAATACTTGTAACCACTTGGCGTCATAACCAAGAGGTTAGGTCAGGTTGAAAGACTGCTGTGTACGTAACAAACGTCACTTAACTCCGTTAAGAAATGACAACGTAACTTCGCAATCCTCGGCATGGTTCACAACTCTCAGCTCTTAAATGCATAGGCAAAACTTGAGGGATATAGAGCTGGAAACATGTCTCCACCTATTACTCCTACATATTATATAAGTTCTCAGTTTAAACTTGATCCTATTCCTGAGAAAACTTGACTTATACCGAGAAGAAGATCCTCGACACTACAATAGCCGCAACTGAAGTTGTTGTTCCAAGGCCACGGAATGACCTTGTACTTTCTTCGCTACAAGAGTTCTCAGCTGTCTTCACTCGCCTGCTCCCCGATGTTCGTATTGCAACGTTGAATGACCTTGACGTATGAAATTTGATGATGGCTTATAGAGAAGAAAATACTTGGTAAGTATTATGCTTTGGACACTATACGCCCTGCGAGAAGACGTAACGATGGTAAAACGACGTGTGGACTTGTGAGCCACTACGAACTTCATGATAAAAAATGTCCCAAGGTAATATCAGAATTTGAACGCACTCCTTCCCGTGTTTATAGTAATCAGTGATGTTTCTGAACTGAATCAAATTTTATAATTTGTATTCTAATTTATAAATATAAGGCGATTGGATTTTACTGGCCCAGGACAGGGACCGGTGGAAGGCTTTGGTAACTTCGGTAATGAACCTTCGGTTTCCCTAAGCCATCTAGTTAGTTCGTTATTTATAAATATGAGATAATTATGATTTAATTTCGAGGGTTTAATTGAAATATTAGTCATGATCCAGTAAAATCTGAAAGTTATTCAAATAAGAATTGTACACCTCATAAACTTTCTTCCTTTCATTATCAGATATTTATTTAATCTGTTTTCTATGTTGTCCCCAAAATTATTGCC